GGCAGGCCATAGCTCTCGAGCTCGAGGACGACTTGAGGGGCGAGGCGGCACATGTGTTCGATAGCATCTTGGTCCCCGAGCCAGTCGGAGCCCTTCACAGTGTCGTAGGCATGCCAGCGCCAGTCGTCCTCGGTCATGTTGCCGAGAGCAGCATTTATACCGCCTTGGGCAGCCACAGTGTGGGAGCGAGTTGGGAAGACCTGACGAGCGTGTATGAATCCAATGCAGGTGTGAGAGTTGCATAAACTCACTTTGGAGATGCAGGCAGTTTTGAGGCCGTGAGCAACAAGACCGGAGGCGGCTCTAAGGCCGGCACCGCCAGCGCCAACTACAACAGCATCGTAGAAGTGGTCATGAACCTACCAGGAAGCGAGCTGAACGTTTTACCGCAGCGAAAAAGAGAGCTTGCCTTGTAACCACGAATAGTCGATGTACTGGCGTGCCTGACAGCACTCCAGCCGGACTGAGCGTGGACGGCAAGCTTGCTTAGCATTGTCAGAAAACTGAAATGATATAGCACCATTTTTGAGCTGGTTCAGGAACGATTTGTGTGTGGAATTTACTCCGTCTTTGAACGGTTTTACACGCGTAAAATCGTCCCATTGTGTGTGAGCGTGTAAGCATTCAGTTCACAGTCGTGCGATAGGAATTGTTCATCATCTTCATGGCGGTTCCTAAGGCCGATAGAGTACATGAGGCGACATCAATGTAAGATGGGAAGGAAAGTGAACAGCGTTGGGACGAGACTGGTAGAACTCAGCAGTCTGTCGAAACCTTCAAGACGTTTAGACCGTGACGAGAGCGTTCCCCTCCATTTGAAATTGGGATAACCTCAAACGATGCATTCATCTAACGTACTGTAGTATTTCGTTTATCCACACACAACCATTATGGTTTGCCTATGTATTATCTCGTCATATCTCAATGCACTTAGTCGCTGCTTGTCAAGGGGTTTCATATGAGCGTCGTGAGGGAATAAGATCATTATTTCGATTGTCCTTTCGTTTTGGCTCTCGGAGTATCCGATCTCTTTGTAACGGGACCTTCTTCGGGCGGCAAGAGAGGATTCACATCATGGATAT